ATTAGGAAAATAAAAAAAGAAACACGCGTTTTGGCCGAGAAATATTGCACCAATAGTTTCAACAACTTATGTTACGAGATTTGGTATCGACATTGATATCCTCGTAATCCGAGCCCCGAAATTCCATATCTAAAATATGAGAAAAGGTTGTTATGAGTACGACTCGTGTACTGTTCACACCGAATGCTAAGTCTGAGGTGGTCGCACTAAGCGAAATAGGCATACCACCATGTACATAATAAAGTTATAACCGGATAGCAATAAGAGTACATGTAAGGGAACTCTTGTTTAGAACACAAAGCAAATGGTTACTCACGTGACAACGCACATAACACTCGTCTACAGTCCCAAATGCAAACATCCAGCTTATGAATGGAGTTGCGCAGTGAGAAAGAACTATAAATAACACAACACGTGTTATTGTTTATAAGCATTTACGTATATGTTATTAAAGAGATCAGAGGCATATTCTCAATATTATTGGAGGTAGATCTATCCATTATGCAATCATAGCACATGTACTGAGTGCCCAATAGCTATTGAAGCATAATCATGGACGCAGCCGATTTAATTGAAATAAGTAAAACAAAAGGAAGTTACACGTGTCTTGGCCGAGAAATGTTACACACATAGTTTCAACCACTTATGTTGCGAGATGAGGTACTGACACCGATATCCTCGTAATCCGAGGTCTAAAGTAATATTCTGTATCCAATGTATGAGAGAGAGGAAAGGAGAAAGCAATACATGTATATGGGACGAAATTTCATAACGTGTACGAAAGATTCGAAGGTCAATTTATTATGAGTGCGCATCGTGTACTGCTCACACCGAAAGCTGGGGCTGAGGGGGTCCTACCAAGCTATATGTGCATACCACCATGTGCATAATAGGGTTATAAACACATAGGCATAAGAGTACAGGTAAAGGAACTCTTGTTTAGAACACAATGCAAATGGTTACTCACGTGACAACGCACATAACACTCGTCTACAGTCCCAAATGCAAACATCCAGCTTCATGATTGTCTATCTCCTGCTCTAACAAATTTAATAATGATAGGTTTAGGCATATCAGCTCTACAGTTGACAGGATCAGTACTCGTGCGGGGTAAGCGATGGATGTTGACAAATAACATCTTGTCCGCATCTTTCACACCAAGTGAAGAGAACACTTCCCTAGCGACTGTCTCCGGGTCCTTATCGTCAGGGATGCCATAAAGCAACAGGTTATTCCTCCTTGAATACAACTCTAGCATCAGGAGCTTCAATTCGAAGTTTTTCTTCATGTCTGACATGTCCTGCTTTAACTTCTTTTTTTCGTTTGTGTTTGTTTCAATTTGCTCCGCATTGAACGATACAGACTCAAGTATGTCATTAGTTGTAGTGTGGAGCTCTTTAATCTCGTGACTCATTGTATCAAGTCTACTCACAATTGTGTGTGTATGCTCTGTGGGGGCATCCTGAATGAGACTCTTGAGTTCGGTCCTGTCCATATTCGAAGAAGCAGAGCGTTGCGAGGCTTCAGTATTGTGTTTGGACTTGTTTCCTTTCTTTGCGGACATTTTGTTTAAGTATTTGGCTTGGTTTGGGGAGAGAGCAACAGACCTAGCGTCTACTCATGAAGACAGCACCACCGGGAGTCTATAACTGGAAGAGAATGTGAAACAAGCAAGTAATCTGTAATTTATAGGACTTCAAACTGACATTGAGTTAATCTTATCACATTAAATAATGTGTTTTTTTGGTCCACAATTAACCTCTGAGAACACAAGTAATGGAGATGTTTATTCAACGGACTGTTATTTTAATCAGTTACATCCGAAGTACAAAGCATTGTTCTCACAGCAAGTTGATATTTGGAGCTGTTACTTTAGTCTGTAATCTGTAATTGAGAGTCCGGATTATAAAGCAAGTTTTAATGATTATTTAAGAACAATTTTGCCAGGACTCAGAGAGTAGTCTGGAGAAAACCGGTTTACAAAAACTCCAGATTTGTCAGATTCCACAATATATGGCGGGGATCAGAAGAGCTGCCAGACTTGCCTTTCACTGTCCTGTCCAGTCACCACCAGAAGTTATAAGAGTCACTGACTTCAACAACTACATTGTCACCAACTGGATAGATGATGAAGCAAGATTCCCCCTATCCCCTAATCACCAAAAGCAGGAAAACTGTTGAACAACAACTTGGAGGGATTCCACAACCAGTTGAACAAAACCCTGCCACATTGGCACCCTAATGTCTTCCTTTTAGGTAGAGGTGTCAGACAAGGCAGATCAACTCCGCAGATCAACTTTGAAGCTGCCCCTACCAAGAAGAAAAGAGTCTACAGGGAGACGAGAATCTAGAAAACTCCACTCAAAGTTAGATCTAGATGCAGTTGGTCACCTGTAAAAATTGTTCAATTTAAGTGAGAAGAGATAATTTTGTTACACTGCTTATGAAGACATATTGTCAGTATGACAGTAGTTTATAATGTTGTGTTAATGTTTGATACATTATTAATGTGCTACCACATATCATAAAACCACAATATCATGTTTGAAATATGCAGTAAAACATAATAAAATGGTATCTTACTACACAAATTGTTTAATTTTTGTGACTGGGGTGTCCCATTCCTCAAGACATACTGTTGTAGAAGCTTTGAGGTATAGGTGTGTTGTTCCCCTTCCTATGAAATAGGGTAAGAGAATAGCTGTGTGCTGAACCATATAGTTTGTTGTGTTAGCTGATGACTCTTTGGAAAGTGGCATAATACCATCCAAACTCAGATTTTCATTAAGTTTTCATTAAAATGGTAATGGGCATAACATTGGAACTGTCTCCTTAAGGTGGAATATTCCAGATGTTCCAGAACCTTCCCAACCAGTCTAACTCTCAGTCTAAATATTGTAATTAGCACCCCACTACCCTTTAAAGAATACAAACAGAAACAATATAAGACAAAATGGATGATGCTGTAATTCATCTGATATGTGTCGATTTCCATGTTAAAACAATAATTAAACATTGAAATCTGTTTGGAAAACAATTCAGAGTGAACCCAAACAAGTAACAAAGAAATGTAGTACATATATAGAACGTCATACTAGTGCATTTGGATGGTTTGTATTGAATGGTTGAATGGTTTCTCTGCACCCATGACATCTTCTCGTTCAATACAAACAATCCAAATGTACTAGTATGACGTTCTATATTTATTATACACCCGTCCCCCGCCGTGATATTGCTGGAATATTGCTAAAAGCGGCGTAAAACTAAACTCAGTCAGTCAGTCAGTTATTATACACCCTCTTATCTTGATCCTTGCCTCACCATGGAGCTAAATGTGAACCATCTCTGTAGAGTAGGCTACTTCCATCTCCACTCTATTGGTAACATTCGCCATCTTGTAACCACAGATGCAGCTTAAGTTCTCACTCAGTCACTTGTTCTCTCCAGGATTGACTATTGCAATAGCCTACTGTTTTGAATCTCTAATGATCTTCTCCTCAGACTTCAAAACCTACAAAAGACCGCCTCCGTGGTGTAGTGGTTAGAGCGTCCGCCCGGAGAGCGGAAGGTCGCGGGTTCGATCCCCAACCGCGTCATACCAAAAGACGTTAAAATATAGTACTTGTTGGTCCCTGCCGGGCGCTCAGCATTAATGGGTACAACAAGGACTGGTCGGCTCGGAGTCAGTAAACTGTGTCTGAGTGGGGTATTCATGCTTCGCTGCGGCATGGTATCTATGTGGGCTAGCACTATAAAACCAGCTTAAGTCTGGGCTAGTACAAGAAGCCGCACATACACATACACACGCATGCACGTTGTCATATGAGCGAAATATTCTCAAGCACGACGTAAAACCCAATTTCACCTCACCTCTCCTCAAAAACTACAAAATGCCGCCGCCAGAGTTGTCACTGAAACATCCAAATGGTCTCACATAACCCCAATCCTCCAGAGTCTGCACTGGCTGCCAGTTGAAGCCAGAATTCAGTTCAAGATCCTCACTCTTGTTTCCCGCTGCAGACACGGCCTAGCTCCTCCCTACCTCTCTGAGATGTTGTCAACATATATGCCTGCACGTTCTCTCCGCTGCCAGAATCAAGATCTTCTCTCATTTCCCCATATTCATCTCAAACACATAGGTTATTCAAATTTGCAGCACCAAACCTGTGGAACAGTCTTCCTTACTCCCATAAAAAAATGTTTCATCCTTTCAAATCAGGACTTAAAACCTTCCTCTTCAAAAAAAGTCTACAACTTATAACTGTGAAATATTTTCATGTTCATTTTGACGAACTGTCATATCTTCCTCATCAACTCTAGTGACTCTTTTTATATGTAGCACTTTGAGCATGCTCTAGATTGACTATGGCGCACAAGAAATATCTATCACTTTTTATTATTATTATGTTGCATTAATCTGTTACTTAATAAAACAAATCATAGCATAGCAATGTAGAACCGGCAGGGGTTCAATACAGAATCTGGGGTACAATACAGAATTTGATGATGTCATCCGTATTGCACCTCTGTATTACTATATTACGTTTACATGGGTATATAATAAAATTAACAACTGTATTGTAAAATTAACTAAGTTTACAAACAATTCAAATTACTGCCAAGGAATTTACAATGGCGCTACAAGTTCAATGGTTAGAATATATTATTAAGGAATTCCTACAGCAATAAAAGAAGTGATGATAATCTTCACTTGACAGCAACAGTGGTCACGCTTCCCAAATACGCCCAAGCAGGGAGTCCAGGATGAAAAATGATCTTCAGAGACTGCTGGTCTGATGTAATATAAAATGCCACATAACATCAGGAATTGCACTCCTGATAGCATTGTAGTATACCTTGGAGTTGGAAGCATTACTGCTGATTGGCTTACTTGGTAGTAAGGGAGATTGTAGTTAAGGTCAGTCTTATGTGATGTGATGACTTCAAAGCTATGTACCATGATGCTACCCCAACTTGTTAATTTTTGTCTTTATTTACAGGTATGACCAAAAGATTTTGTCAAAGGTCAACAAGATCTCCAAACCTAAACAACTCCAGCAGTATGTAGCTGTTGCAAATTATACAAAACAGGAGATAGGAGAAATTGATCTTCATGCGGGGATGGTGATGGAAGTTATGGAACAAAGTGAAAGTGGTTAGTGACACCATTATGTATAATTGTGGAATAAGCTACACCTTTAGGTAACAGAAAAGTTTTGATTCTAACTTAAAGACACAGTACAGTATGCCCTCAACTGTGTGTATATAGTAAAGGTCACATGCAACGCAAAACACAACTTTGCAGATTCTGATACCTTTCGGTATGAACTTACAGTAACAAATTATCAAAAATACAAATTCAGCTTATAAAGTTGAAACATAACCACACACACACACACACACACACACACACACACACACACACACACACACACACACACACACACACACACACACACACACACACACACACACACACACACACACACACACACACAGCACACACACACAGCACACATATAGCACACACACACACACACACATAGCACGCACACATAGCACACACACATACACACATAGCACAATAGCACATGCGCAGTGATTATGTTCGCGCGGCTCGAACCGGGAAGGCAACTCGTGAAAACACAGCAAGTGATGCGTGCAAGGATTATCGCTGTGGTCGGAGTTGGAGAACATAAGATGTTTCTTGTGATTACAAGCATCTTTGGTCTGCAGTAATAAAAATACACTGGTCCGATACTTTTGGTTATATGTTTTCACATCTTGTTTTAGGGGGCTGGCAGATTTGCAAACCAAGTTTTCAAGAACGTGTAGCATTAGAAATACTAATTTCTTTGTTAAAAATTGCTCAGCTTGAAAACTGAAATGTTTTAATACATGTCTATGGAAACAGAGAAAAATATGTTGATAGTGATAAGCAGTCTCTGTCACAGACAAAACTCAATGTCTGATTTATTGACACCTATGTGTCTGCCTGCCTGCCTGTCTGCTAAAGACAATATGCAATACACAACTTCAATCATTGACCACATGCAATTTGAACTTAAAACGTTTCAAGCTATACATCATAAACAAAATACATTGATTTATGGCTCTTGCACCTGAGTTCTGTCTCTGTCACATGTAATTACACAGACAGGGCAGGTGGGATACTTGTACACATGACATGTTATTATGTCTGTGGGTTGCAAACAATCAGCATACATTTTTCTCGGATGACTGGATCGGACTGAAACCGGTGCAAACTCAGATTGTCAGTTTAAGTCCTGCTTTGTACTTAAACGAACGACAGTTTGCAGCCACGCAGTAGTTCACCATCTCAGTATTTGTTGATTGGATCGAACGCAAATGCAGAAAAAATGAGCATGTATTTACAAAACCCAACATCTCTATATACACACACACAATGAGCCCTCAGTGTATCGGCAAATGAACCAGCCAATGAAAGACTTCGTTACACTAGAGTGCACACCCACCCACTCTGACTGGGTTCGGTCTCCCGGGTGCTTCGTCTTGAGGGAAGTAAACCCAAGTACCAAATATTGCACTTTTGATTTGCGATTGTATGCTTTTAATTTTGTTTATTTGTTTTTTCATAATCAGCAATGTATATTATCTGTCATGAATAAGTGATAATTGTGTTTTAATTATGTTTGCTTTTTGGGTTGCATGTGACCTTTAAATAAAGTGCTGTTCATGCTTACAGGCTGCATTTGAACCCAATATACAACCAGACAGCTTTAATTCCTTTAAGTACTCGTTTTATCTGCAATCATGCTATGAAACCTTTAGGTTTTTCAACAGGCATACCCTTCACTCTCACATGTATATGTAATAGTTGTGAGGAAAATTCAACTCAATGCATCTGTGCATGCATGAGAAAACACTTTTTCCTGTCTGTCCAGATCTGTATTTTTTAATCACATGTGATCTCAGTTTGGTTTGCTATTTCACAGTATTACATCTTGAAATTTTTTCAAAGAAAAGGGGGAGGATAGCATGGGTGCCCCAGTTGTCTGAGGCCCTACAATATTCTGTGTAGATTTGTGTTTCTCAGGCACACCGGAACCTTGGTTGGTGTATTTGATTTGTCATGATTATGTTTCTAGGTTTCTCAGCACTATGCCTGTGCTAAATATCTAAGCATCTAAGACTTTCCTCCCATGTTAAGTTGACATGTGATATGACTGGAATTATGTTCAAAGCAGTGTTTAACCAAACTCAATCACTTTAAGAGAAAAGTACAGACAAGCTGAAAGCATTCTTGTGAGTACTATGTTTAGAAGCACATTGTGGCAGATGGTCTCCAGCTTCTCCAGTACCATCCAGTCTTTACAGGGTGTGGCAGTATGAACTACTACTGCTCACTTCCTCAGGAGCATTCCCTCACTGAGAGACACCTAAGTGAAAGGTCACCACATGGTGAGCTTCCCCTTTTGAGGGGAATTCCCCACAACCAGAGCAGCACGCTAGTTAAAAAGGGGTTTCACCAGAACATCACTGGGACCCAAGACCCTTATCATAATAGATTGTCCAACCCATCCCACTAAAAGGAGCAAGCTCATCCAACACCCACCTTGCTGAATACTACTGTCATGCTCTCAGGCCTGTCAGGTAGTCACTGTAGGTTTGAAAGGGGCCTGTGTCCCATTTTAACTCACTTGTCCTCTTCAACCTGAAGGAATTTTCAAACACATCCTTACTGTTATTTTTGACCAAATTCATGCTCATTTACCTCTGTTTGCTGGATTGCATGTTTAAATCTATGTGTGCCAAGGACCCCCTCAACTTGTGCTGTTTGCAGATTGTTTACTGTATTTTCTTGAGTACACTGCTCACTTTATTTAACAAAACACACAACTGTGTAGAGGGTCTGAGCTTTATACATGCCACAATGTTTGGATATTGTTCCCAATGCACAGTCATTACTGTGAGCACTTTGGAAACACCATGTCAACAAATCCAGATTAAGTACACTATTGAATCTTGATATAATTTACCTATGTTTTTTTATCTATGTCATTCATTTTATTCAAAATTTCATTCAATATTGTTAACATCAAATCCAGGAAATCGTGTATAAAGTTGTTGACAGTGCACCAACACGCTGTTATTTGTAGCAACTAGGGTCAAATGGATGCTATTGATGACTAGAACGAAACTTTAGTTGACAGTTGAGATTGAATACATTAATCATAAAAGCCATACTTTGAATTGTTAAATGCCATATTTTTTTTCAGTTTTACTTCAATATTTCAACATAACCCGTTTGCAATCACCAACATGAGAGCCCTGATGGTGATTTGTCAAACAGTTCAATCTGTAAAAATGTCCAACCATAGCAGTCAGTTGTACCAAATATTTCAACTGTATTCATTAAAATTATCCTGATAATAGTTTCAAATGTAATCACTCCAATCACTGCTTCAAAATTGTTCGAAGTTCTTTTACTGCGTATATTTAAACAGAATGACTGGTAGGAAACATGTGCATAGCTGATTGCTATATCCAGCTTATACCTTAGACACCCTAGATACCCTATACCTCGACATAACAGAGGAAAGAGCTACTTTAAACCAACTCTTGCAGGCTTTTTTTGACACTGATAAGCTTAACATTGTCTGTCGTGTCCTGAATGAGCAAATCTCCAAGGTGGCTGTTAAATGCATTCTTTTGGCTTGTCAGTGTGTTTTTCATCTCTTTGTTGGTCATCTTCACAATGCCTCTCATCGCTTGTTTCATCTTCTTCATGGCCATCTGGATTTCCATCCAATTCATATCCTGTGTTGACATTGTTATCATCAACATTGAAAGGTTCGTAAAAATCATTGTTAATGTCATCACTGTCTTCCCCATTATCAGACTCAAGTTCTACAAGTTGAGGTCTTCTTCATGTGAGTGTATCATTGACCTGTAGTTGGGAAGATGCTGGATTGTCTCAGAGTATTGTTGAGCTTGTTGAAATACTTGCTTTGGGAAAGACCTAGGCCAAATCTTTGTTTTACATTGTTCTTTGTTCTTCTCATAACCCCTTTCTTCCATTAGAGATGCTATAGTTTTTTAAATGTTAGCATTGTTCATTGTGGGATCATCCAGGGCATCCTCAGTGTGAAGTTCTTGCCAGATAGTAAGCAAAGTTGTTGGTGATCCTTCATCCCTTTCTGGACCACGTCATTTGGGCTTTGATACACTTGCAATGTTCTTTGCCTGACCACCATCTTTTGACTTTAAAGTACTCAGCATGTTAATGGCTGGACAGCACCCTTTAAGCTTGAATTTCCTTGACATTACAAGAGATATGGTTATCAGAAAGGTGCAGCGGAACTCTCTGAGACACTGTGACATCATGTTTAGCTGTGAAAGTGCTAAGAATAACAGTTGTCTGTAAATTCAATGTGAAATAACTTTAAATACACAACCATGTCAGAGATACTAATCACCCTGGTTGTGGCAGAGTTACTCTGATTTTCAAATACAAAATCTGCTCTTTGATTTGTTTCTAAAAAAATTGTGATTTTTTTTGCGGTATATAATTTTGTAAGTCACTGGTGATACCAGTAGAAGTATTTTGAAGCTTAGTGTGTCATCTTTTAGGTCTCGATTGTGTATACTGTGTGTTATTGACAGCAAAGTTTCATGAAGGTCTTCTGAATACATGTTATAGACTGTATGTAAGTGAGTGAAACAAAATGGCAGAGCTGACCATGACGCTGAAGAAAAAAACAGGATTAAGTACTTCAGTGCTCGGGCATGGCTTTCAGCCAGTCGTATTTAGTAGACAGGACATCCATGCGTGAGTTGACTCAGAGGGAAAACTCAACACGTGTTTTGGCCATGACTTTTCACTGCCAAACTGGTTTTTCATTACAGACACGATGGCGCGTCCACTGGTTGTGCTATCCACACAGCTTATTACAGTTCCAGTTTAAATGTGACTTCAAATGAACTTTATCGAACACGTCAAACCCCCCTTGAAAATAATTACCAATTATTTTTAACCCAAACAAATTAACTTAATATCACAAACTTCGCCTTGCAGCACATTTACAAATATTTACAGTTCTTGAAACTTGTCGTCACCATCATATCATGGCACTGCTCAGTCACACACATACTCATCAAGTCTCTTAGGTC